AAGGTCTTTAAAAGGATCAATTGCTGATGTAGCACCACTTGCTTCATTCTTAGCTTGTAAGTCGATAACTTAGCTTATCTTCAATAGTTTGAGGTCACTTTCAAAGTGGAACACTCAAGCAGTATCCGATACTTGTGAAGCTAACAAATTGCTAAGTTAACTACAATAATATGAACTCATTGTTTGAAATGGAATCTTATTCCTTTTCTTCGTTCCTCGTTTCCTATATTTCTTATCATAGTTTATCTCATAATCTTTTAAGAACCACTTCTTTAAGAGTCTTTGACTTTTATACTTTGTTAAGCATAATTAAGCATCTACTGTGTCGTAAAACAAAGTTCCATCTTTTCCTTTAATTCACGCTTGAATTACTACATCATTGAGTCCTACTCATCTATGTATTAAGCGAAAAGATATGTTGGTTGTCAATATTGACAATTTGAGTTTGCAACTCAATACTTCATGTTTTATCAAAACTACCTAGTATTTTGAATACATGATGTCCAACTGTCCTTTCGGACTTTGTTATAAAAGTCATTTATGAGAATTGTATTTTAGAAATGCTTTAATTTTCTTTGAGAACCATTCTCAAAGATTTCCTTTACCAATCATGGAAAACAATACAGTTTGATTTGGAATTCTACAAATATAAGTGCAAAGTATAACCATTTATCAAGTAAATAACATAATAAATTTGAAAATTAAAAGGTATTCATGCAAATCTTCAATCTTATTAAACGTCTTATCCACGCATTAAAATTTTCCCCGTTTGGCGAGAATAAGTCGATTTCAAGATCCAAAGAAAAAAAGAGTGGTTAAGCATGCTTTGCTTGTCTTAACACTCAATCTCCTACCGTAAGCAACGCTTTGCTAATGGCTCCAAGCCACTCTTGGTTGAATAAATAGTCGCATCTAATGCTCTCTCAACAATTTATTCACTTTGCCACGACATGTTAGGACTCCATCACCCATATCGTTGCGTACAACCAAAATTAACTTGCATACCCGGTATGCCTAACGTTCCTTGGAGAGCTAGTGATGCCTCGTTTTGGCGTAGCCCACCACTACCCTCGTTCGGTTGGTAAGTGTTGTTTTGGAATGGCATGTTTTACTCAATATTTAGGGACCTAGGGTTTCTATGTTGGTTGATTTAAGTGAACTTAATTAATAATCACAACATTCAAAATCCTAAACATGCATCTAACATATACATATATATATATATACATATATATACATATACATATATATACATATACATATGTATACATATGTATATATATATAGATATATATCGAAAAACATAAATAGAGATGCATTTGGCAACTAGCATGACCCCTTGAGATCTTCAAATCTTCAAAAGGTCTTCATTTGCAACTTCATGGCTTCGTCTTCCAAGACTTGACCAAAATAAATGCAACTACTAGTATCTACGATTAGGACTAATCTAAATATTAAGGTACAAAATACTCAACGGTTTGCAGACCGTATTTAGATTTACAAAAATACATCACGGATCACAGTCCGTATTTTCTATCCTAATCGGGCCCCACTAGTTGCCATTTCATAAAACCTGTGAGAGAATATACATTCCATTCATCCATTCACTAGTTGTGAATGGCCCATGCATTTTACACCGATAAACAAGTAACAATGCATAAAACACATGCCCGCACTAGTAATTAATCTAGGTGGTTAATCCGATTATCACGCCTAATTAAAACTAGTCAAAGTTGTTTTAACCGATTATGTAAATAAGCGCAATTAATGTTTGAAGCTCCCACTAAATTCCGCATTCAACTCAATTAATCCAATTAATTAAGCCGGTAAAACCTAAAATTTTTCAAAATAAATTTTGCCAATGCCGCTAAAAAAACCAAGGCCTAGCCTCCAAAATTTATTAAAATAATTAAAACCAAATTAGATTAATAAAATAATTAAAATGGCAAAATAAGCAAACACGAAGCCAACCGTACTCAAGTGGTTCACGCACTACATACGTGCCACATGAAAGTCAAGGTTGTCCAACAACCCCCGCACTATACGGCTTGGCGCACGTGCCTTTACCACCCCACGTACCACTAGCTAGGTACACCCTAGTAGCGTTTGCTTACAAGGTGCTAGACACAAGGCCATGCCTGCTTTCCCCTTTACACCAAAAAACCAAGCACATACACGCACTAAAACGCTCGCACACTCCACGCACATGGCCGCACGCATCGAGCATGCCCTTGGCAGCCACATGCGGGCTGCTATGCAGCCCGGCTAGCCAAGGGAGGTTTTGCCTCAATTTACGTGCCATAGCCTCGGGATTTTAATCTCGAATTTCGCGTGACAATTTATTAATTCTAAATTAATTTTAGAATTAGTTTTCGTGAGCAAAAATGAAAATTTAAACAAGTCTAACTTAAATAAAAAAAAAAATCATCCAAGTGCATGTAACCAAAATTATTTCCAAGAACCATTCTTTAATAAAATTGGTTTAAGTTGGTGCAACAAAAATAAGAGGGCAATTACTCACCATCAATTTAATTTAATCTTGAGTTTTTGACAAAATAAAAGGGAATTGAAAAAATGAACATAAGTTCAATATAGATTCCAACTTTAATACTTGTGAATCCTTGAAAAAATTATATCTTCCAATATGAAGATAAACAAATTTCTATTACAAGTTTCAAACTTTATGATTCCAATCAACTAAAAAATGATTAAATAAATAAAGTTCAACAAAAATTCATGGAATTTAGTAACTTAAAGTTTCAATCACTTAACATAATTAAAGATTGAATCTTTAGTACTTGGAAGCCTCAAAGAACAACAATTTCACTCTTAATGCAATTAGTTTGCAATTATGTGAAAAATAAAACCAAGCTTTCAAACACAAATTACCACCAAGTAATCACGCCTTAAGAGGTTTAAAATTGCATATAAAATATGTATTGAACCAATTACATAACCACCATAAATATGCAATTGATTTTCAAGGTTAGAAAGACTTAAAATTTTTCGTAAAAACGAAAATTCCCTCAAAAAGTGCATTTCTGGTCGTTTTTTTGGCTAAAAACCGAGTTCTGGAAGGGTAACACCATTTTCAGAACGCCTTTTCCACCCAAAATTCACTATTTTTGGGTCAAAATCTGGGTTTGGGAGTCTAAGATAGCTCTAATACGAGGTTAAAATAGATAAAACGAGCTACTAATCTAATTAGCAACTTAATACCAGAAAAATTAAGCCATAAAAACACCTTGAAAAATATTATGATTTTAAAATAAACGAGCAAGGCTCCGATACCGCTGTTGGGGTTTGGTGAGTCCGACTCATCGCGGAAACAACCCCGACCCAAAGAACCACTCGCAATTAATAAAACCATAAAGCATAACAAATAAACATTAAAGGATAAAATTGGAATTTACCTTTGAAGCGTGCTTCGCCCTCAAAGTCGGGCTCTTACTTGAAAGCTTAAGCTCCGAAAATACGCGAGCCTCCTACGAAAATCCACCCGCAAAAACTACTAACGACTTTTAGGTCCGTTACCTTGAGGTTAGCGAGGTCCGACCAAAACCCGAGTATAATATGAGTTTACGAGTTTTTGCTAATGCAATGCTTTATTGAACTCCTACTCAAGAAAGAAATTCTCATGCCATGCTTTGGCTATTTATAAGGAAGGATAGCTTGTGAATTCCACTCATCTTTCAATGTGGGACTTTTCACAAAAAGATCCCACATGGAAAGGTTGATGAATTCAATCCTTAGTTAAATAAACCAAGGAACAAGTAACAAGTGTCACATGGTTAGGTGAGGACCACTTTCCCACTTGGTCCCCAAGGCATTTCACATGCAATGTGAACTAACCAAGTGTCACCCAACCTTGAGCCCCAAGGTGGGTTCGGTTGGGCCATTTTATTTTGGCCCGTGTCCATGACCCATTGCCCCGGGTCCATGGCCTTTGCCACATGTGTCGCCACAGTGGCGCGCTTCCACGTGGCACGCTCCCTACGTGGCACGCTGCCACTTGGTGGCTGCCAACGTGGCGGCTGCCACGTGTGCTGCCACATGGTGTTTTGCCATGTGTGCTGGCACGTGGCACACTCCTATTGGGCGCGCTTTCCTAGCCTTTCGAGTGGCTAGGATTTTACTTGTTACTTGAAGCATTTTCCCGTCTCGCCAAATCCTAAATTTTGGCTCGACATTTGAGATTCTTCGACGCTCCAAGCTCGAATTACCGACTTCTAAATATTTAATACTCGGGCGACGAATTAATTTCTTCCGAATTAATTCGTCGAGTCGGTTCTTTTACTGCTAAGGGTGTTACCCGAAGGGTTTAGTCAAGATTTAGCTTTAATATTAATTATGCATTGATATTACTGATCGGAAGCGGCCTCCACCTAGGCATTCCGATCACTTGACCTTACTGAATATATTAGCTTTGTAATAATTCTGAACCTACTAACGGAATAGTACACTTGTTCGAAGGACACCATTCCTTTCACTCTTCACCTTCTGCAGTTGAGGAGAAGTTAAAATTTCTTGCGAAAACGGAGGCGACTTATCTCTAACAGTCAGCATGCGCATCTGCGAATCAATTGGCTGGGGTTGCACGGACTGTCCGACCAAATAGGGAGCCTAGCCGAACGTCTGACCGTATTGCCCATATTGTCCGAAGACCTGGGGACTCGGTTACAAAATGCCGTTGAAACCTTGGGGGGGATAATACTGAAGTGGTTGTACTAGAAAGGGTTTTGAAGTACGAACGGCTTGACTCTTGCTGGAGATGGTCGAGTTGTTATGATGGGAAAGAGAGTGGTTAGAGAATTCATCCGACATTGTGGGAGTGGAGGCTGTATCCGAGTAAGCGGTACGTTCCCGTTGTTTATGCCAAAGGTAGTCTCTTGCGTCCTTCCAGCGTCGAGACGGCTCGATCTCCTCTCTTCGAGGTTGTCTGCCCCTCCCCCAGCCGACTGGGTTTTCGCCAATAGGCTAGACAGGTTCGTCCGTGGCACCCTCGGAGACCTTCCATTCGGCCGGCGAAATGGGGTGTTCCCAACATCTGTTGCATTGGTTACTCTGTTCTGAGTTTTCTTTGGAGCTCTTTCTCCCTCTTTTCTGGGCGGCTGCCTAGAGGCAGAAACTCGGTTGCTTTTAAACTCCTTTCGAAGTTTGTTGAGTGTTGTCTGCAAGGAAGCAGCAGTAATTGAAGGATCATCGACCTCTTGATATGAGGCAGTTAAAGGATTACTAGAATGAATTGTAAGGACTATGTCCTCTACATGACAATCCTCTCCTAGACGAGGGCCGGTATTAGGTGTCTGACCATCTATTGCCATAACGGACGAGTATCCCCACAGACGGCGCCAAATGTTTCGGGTGTTTTTTGGATTTCCTCGGATACTGGTCACGCTCTTCAGGAAATTAGACTTGGACACCTGTAAAAATGAACGAATATTCTTTTACCAGAATATTTGCCTTCGACGATCAAGTTTGAGATCTGAAACGGAAAGGCTAGAGAGAGAAAGTAGAGAGAAGTTTGAGCTATTTAATGTTATTTTTATGTAATGTCGTAATCCACCCCCCTCATTATAAATGATTGGGGTATTTATAGGGGTGGGAGTTTGTGCCCCTTTAAGGTTTGTACCCTAAAATTTCGTTACCTGATTTTCTGCGCAATCAAGAGATGCCACGTGTAATATGGGGTGCTGTTTTAAGGCTTTCTAGAATATCTCTCGGGATTTGGGCCATGATTTAATAAGGCCTTTTTTTGTTGACTTCAGGTGCTCTTTTTAGCATTAGACACGCGTCATCTTCCCATAGTGACACGTATTGTCCTTTGACGGGGCCACGTGTCGCTACGGGATTGGAACACGTATGTGGGGTATTTTTACCCTAAATAATAGCGATTTATTATTAAAATGTACAAATTAAAAATAGGTGTTATATAAACCGTGCATCGCACGGGTTCTAATCTAGTTGCATCTAATCTCAAAAAAAAATTTATTGATGTATGCATTAGAAGAAAATAATATAAAAAACATAAAGCAATATATGAATTGTTTCAAAAAACCCATGAGTATTAAAAAACCAAATTAAATTTACTTTTCTAAATTGATAGGAATGTGGACCTCATGCTTCCACCAATTTTAAAGTTGCAACCTATTATGATCTTATCACTTAAAACTGCGTAAAATAAGAATATGATTATTTTCATGGAAATTATCAATGAAATAAAAGAGTTGCGTATATATCCATTATGGTCATAATCATACTACTATATATTTATTAATATACAAAGTTAGGGAAAAACCCATAATTATGTTTTATGTAGTATGGCAGATAATTTGAAACTGCTTTAAGCTAATACTTGTAGTATATAAACCCTAACAAAAAAACAATGTATTCGCCCATTGCCTCACAAAATTTTCAAATCACTCTGCTTGGTAAAGTTCATACTAACATTAACTTGAAAATCAAACAAAAATCCACGAAAAAATAATTAGTACACATAATACTCGATCATGCATAAAGATTTGAATTCATATTAATCATCATAAAGACTTAAATTTAGTAGAAACATAAAGAATAAAATTTAAAACGGCAATCGTTAACAAAGGTGCTTAGATTATGAATATCAATGCTATCAAAAAATCAAAATTACACTATGACATACCTCATATTATCCAATTAATCACAAAAATACAATATTTTGTATAAGATTATAAATTCATTAAAACTCATACCTGTATGACTTATTTCATGAACCTTTTTTTTTTTTGGATTATGTGTGGGATAGTTTTGAAGGTTAGTTACTGAAATGGTTATGGAATATAGGGAGACGTGGGAGTAAGGTATGAGGAGAATGAAACTGCCAAGTGTATTTGTTTATTAATTTTTTTTTTATTTTAATTTAAATTAGATAGATTTTTTGTTGAAGCAATGAAGGGATTAGGTAAATAAGCGGGAGTGAATGAGAGTTTAGGATTTGGATTTTGGAGTAATGTGGTGAGAGTGACTCTTAAATTATATATAAGATTTGAAAAAAAAAACTTTTATTAAATACATGTCCTATAAATAGTGATTTATTTACAAGGTCACGCTGACCGAAAATTGTGATACTCCCTTCGTTTTTAAATACTCAATCCATTTCTCAATGCGCGGAGTTTTAGGAGAATTTGGAGAAAGTAATAAAATATGGAGGTAGTGGGGTTAGTTGAAGAATACAAAATTATAAAAAAAAAACCTAAAAGTAAAGGAGATAATTAATTTTTACTTATTAGTATAAAAACCAAAATAAGAGAGATAATTGATAAAATATAGTATAAAATTACCAAATATAGAAGTGATGTATTTTAAAAAAACACTCATAAAAGAAAAGTGATGCAAATAAAAAAACGGAGGGAGTATTAAGTTTTACTTAGTTTGTATACTTAAGTCTTGTTTGGTTGCACTTCAATAAAAGGGAAATACAAATTCATAAAAATGTGATGTGAGTCAATATAAAAACTAGGTACTAAACTTTCATAATTATTGCAAATTGGGTACTCAAGTTTGGGCCATAGCAAAATGGGTACTTTTACTTGCCTCATTTTATTTTTCCGGGCAAAAACTTGCTACACCCGGTAATTTACAAGTTATTGAAAACAAATAATCAAATTGCACTGTAGTTTTGTATTGATGGCATTTTTGGGAACATCACCCAAGGCTTCACATCTCCCATAACAGAGCAAATAACGCAGAAAAATGGATGATTAGGATTCATCCCCCTAAAAGCTGGTTATACAATGACTTGTACTTCATCACTTGTACTTTAGCATTTATAGAACTTTTAGTTGTCTATATAATGATTTGTACTTCATCACTTGTATTAAGCATTTATACAAAAAAAAAACCCCTAAGTAATTAAGAGAGGGAAAAAAAAGAAAAAAAAAACTCACCATTAATTATATGTGGCCTAATTGCAACCTCTCTGAAGGATACGCAAGCAAATAAAATAGCTAAACTTCTGTTTAAGCCTTAAGGTATATTCTCTAATTTTGTCTCTTTGAATTAAGTGAAGTGTTTTTTTTAGGAAAATATAGGTTTTGTTATTGTTTTTGCGTTTTACTAGAAAAGTTATGTTGTATTTTATATGAAAGTGGAAGGTTGATTGTCTTATTATGTGTGTTATATATCATGTGGGTTTTGCTAAAAGTGAAGTATTTGTTTTTTCCTTTTTTAATGATGTTGAAAGTGGATTTTTATGATGTTGAAAGTGGATTTTGGTTGCTATGCTTAGTTGATGAATTAAAATACTTTACGCTTAACAATGTCAACACACGATTATATGCTAAGTATTTTGTTAGTTAAACGATCAGTTTATGTTTAGTTTGTACCCATTTCGCAACCATATCAAATGAAGTTGCTGACCTAACCTATGTATGGACGCTTTTTTTATGTCCACCCATTGATGAGCTAGCAGGAGGTTATGGCATAAGAAAAGGGGTAGGTATTGTTTTTACGAGTAAGAGGTGAAATTTTTAGGGTTTTGCAATTTGTAGTTTCGGGGGTAAAGGAGGTGCGACAGGGTTAGGGGAGGGCGGTATAGGGAGGAAGCATGGGTGGGCTGGGTTGTGGGGTCTTTATGGTGGTCAAAGAAGGTAGGAAAGAAAAGGGAAGAGGTGTTGTCTTGCGTGATGGTCAAATAGTGGTTTACTCCCTTTACTTTCTCAATTCAAACAAACAAATAGTAAATGTATTGTATTGGTTTTTGTTTTCATTCTCCTTGTTCCTTTTCTTATGCTTATTCTCTTTCTCTATTTTTGTTGAACTAAACAACCCTTAAAAGTAATATCAATAATCAATAATTGTAACACCCTAGAAATTCCTTTCTTTAAAAATACTTGTTTTGCTTTGTTTAAAACTCAAAATAGGAAAATATAAGACATTACCACCACTGTGAAAACGGCTAAGGAAACTATCAAAGACACACAACAAAAGACTATCTTTAAAACATTCAAAACGACTCAACTAAAAGGTCAACCAACGAAAGTAAAATCAAACCAAAGCAAAACAAAGTCAACCTACAACTTGGAACCATTGTAGGCCCTCAACAAAACCGAACCAAATTAAAACCTTTGCGTTAGTCTCACAAACAATAATACCATAAAATAATTAAAGCAATAAACATATCATAAACTTATGGAAACTAGCATAATTCGCTCTTCACTCAATGCCTATCATGAATGTGCTTCATCACCTGAAAAACTTCTCTCTACTTGTTTCCACTACTCTCCATTAAAAATGGGTCATCATAGGACCAAGGTAAAGACAAGGCCAACAAACACACAAACACACAATCAGCAAAGCTGAGTACGTAAGCGTGGTTAAACACACTAACATGCTTTCACCTATCAACACACAACTTACCTCGTTTCACCTATTTACAAGAACAAAACATACAATAAGACTTCTCAACTAAGTAACTAAATGACTTATTTAGTATTGATTACGCATCGAACGAGTTTCTCCCCTAACCTGCACCAATAAAGGGGTATTGTAGACACCCATTTGTGTCTCCCCAAAACCAAACCCAGTGATGAATACCTTTCATGGAATTTGATTATCGAAAAAAGCAAAAGTGTGAAAAGTCTAGTGATGAGGATGTTTTTATTAAAATATCTCTTCTTTCTGTTTTTGAAAATGTTTCTTTTCTTACTCTATTTTTTAAAAACGTGCATTCCAGTTTATTTTGGTCCGTGATATGGGTCCAATAATGGTGTATTTGGATGGGGCTTGAAAAGACCTTTCCAACGATATATTATAAGCCTAATTCCGATGAATAATGAGGAAGTTATGGCAAAAATACTAAACTGGGCTCGAACCGGATCTTACCTACGGCCCAATGATCATGTGGAGGGTCCAAAGGTTTAATCCTATTCCTAAACTAATTAGGATTAATTAGAACCTTCCATAAGTTTATAAAAGTTCTTAATTATCGTTTTTGAAAAGATAAGATTAAAGATGAGTTAAATAAAAACTTTCCTTTTATAAAAACTTTCCTTTTTTTAATCCTAATTCTATTCGAATTTAAAGATGATAAAAAATATTCAGATTTTATTTTCGTGCCTCATAATATTTATCCAAATTTTATATGGTTGGATAGATCTTGAAATTATTTTTCCAATGATATATTATAATATTAAATCCGAGCTATAACGAAAAAGATATGAATGAGATATGAAACTCTATCCAAAACTGACACCTTTCTACTATTTTGGCCATATATTTTTATCTACAAAATATTTTAATCTGATTCTAATTGGGTTGGAAATTAGGCTTCAAGTGATTTCCAACG